GGGGGGGGGTTCAGGTCCCCCGGGGTGAGGGGAGCTCCGCTTCGGGTAAGGGTGACCCCCCCCAGGGGGAGGTAAGTCCCTGGTTGGGGGGTTGGGTCACCTCTAGGGGGTGTGGGGGGTGTCCCCCTGGAGCCCCGGGTTGGGGGAGGCAGGAGAGGGGACAAATCATAGAGTCGTGGAATGGTTTGGGTTGGAAGGGATCATGAAGACCATCCAGTGCCACCCCCTGCCCTGGGCAGGGACACCTCCTCCCAGCCCAGGTTGCTCCAAGCCCCGTCCAACCTGGCCTTGAACACCTCCAGGGATGGGGCAGCCACAGCTTCTCGGGGCAACCTGCCCCAGGGGATCACCGCCCTCACAGGGAAGAATTTCCTCCTAATACCTATTCTAAATCTCCCCTTTTCCAGTTTGAAGCCGTTCTCCCTCATCCTATCACTACACGTCCTTGTAAAAAGCCCCTCCCCATCTTTCCTTGAAATACTTCAGGGGGCTATCAGGTCTCCCCGGAGCCTTCTCTCCTTGGGGCTCCTTCAGAAGGGCAGGGTGGCTCCCAGCTGGTTGTCTGCAGGACCAGCCCTTGGCCAGGGTTGGGGTTTTTTTTTGCAGCCCGGGCTGAACTTTACTTTTCTTCCCTGTGGGGGTGGTGATCCCCTGGGGCAGGTTGCCCCGAGAAGCTGTGGCTGCCCCATCCCTGGAGGTGTTCAAGGCCAGGTTGGACGGGGCTTGGAGCAACCTGGGCTGGTGGGAGGTGTCCCTGCCCAGGGCAGGGGGTTGGAACTCAATGATCTTTAAGGTCCCTTCCAACCCAAACCGTTCTATGATCTTCACCACCCACAGCTGACACCAACATCATTTTTTAAGTCATCACCCAGTGGCAGGTCCTAAACTGAAAAACCTGCAATCGGGATCTTTCTGTGTTACAGTTCAGTCAGCTGTAGGCCAATTCCCTGACACTCACAAGGTATGTTGTGAACTTTCTTTGGGAGGACACTTATTCTTTTAGCAATTTAGTAATATTTTATAACCCATCCCCAAATCAGGTCTCGCCTGAATCTTATTTCAGCTTCAGAATAAACTCTTTATTGCTTGCATTAGCAAAATAGGCAATATGCACAGAACAGAGTGAATAAAAGACATCTTCCTCCTTCTCATGCGTCTTGACAGGGTGAAGAGGGAGCTCCTTGGGAAGGTCCTGGAGTTACACAGTCCTAACGAAGCAGAAGTGGGAGAGAAAAAACATAAAATTCCTGTGGTACCCCACTTAACCCATTTTCATTTGGTTCCTGTAGGAAACAAGGCTTAAGTCATCGCCTCCTCTACCCTCCAGCCCCCGCTGATGCCTTGCAAATCCATTTTGATAGCAAGACTTGTATTGAAGTTAGTATCTACTAGTAAGTACCTACAAGTTTTGAGAAAGATCAGCAACTGGGTAGAGGAGAGAGATGCAAATAAGTGGTTCTGTGGGGGAAAGGCTGCAGGGTGAGCTCAGCGGTTATTTGTTTTCCCTGGCCTGCTGGCCGGCCACTCGGCTCACATTGTCTGACCAAGCTGCATGGAATTGTCTGTAGCACAGAGCTGCCTCTTATTTCTAACCTACATTTATTCAGGGCCAGTTCATCCCTTTTTGTTCTTGTGCCAACTTTTGCCATTAGCATAAACAGCTCTTTTCTCGCTCCGTTGTTTGGGGTTTTTTTTTTGTTTGTTTGTTTGGTGGGTTTTTGTTTTGTTTGGTTTTTTTAATAGATGGTGACTTTGTCTCTCTCAGCCTTTGTTTCCCTCAACTAAGCAAAGGATGGGCTCCCCATTCCTGTGAGCCTCCTCGGGGCCCTCCCCTGCACCTTTTGCATCCCGGTTTCTTGTTTTTCTCTCTGAATGCCTTTCATAGCAGTGTACAATGCACAGAAAAAATATTTCCTGTAAGTGGCCTGATGAACCTTTTCTCATTAAAAAGGGGAAGAGGATTTACTAACCTCCCTTCTCTAGACAGTAATATTTTGAAATTTGTCTTCCCCCATCTTTGTTGTGTCAGTGGTCTGAGGATGCTTTTTGCAGAAGGAAACTGGGCAGAGCTCTTAACTCTCCAGTCAAATCCAGCTGAGCTGTGCCATGTAAGCGCTCAGTGGTTACCTCATGAAATCCTAAATTCATGGATTGAGCGCTGCAGTAAGCATGTTTGGGGACAAGGGCTGGGAAGGGATCTGTAGGGATACTTGTAACTACAGGAATAGGTAGAACAGCCACTCACGTTGGTCTGCAGAGATCAGTCGACATCAGCCACGTCAGAAACTCCTGGTTCAAAACATCCTTCAAACCTTCTGAACCTTCCAGAGAAGTAAAACTGTAAGAAGTGTACCATGTCATAAAGACAGAGGAGAGGCCACGATCCAGGTGCAGTATGTAGGAGCCTCGTATCCCAATCCCCTCAAGTTCACAGGGATATTTTATTTTCCTTATCTCCTAATATCTGACTCAGATAAACCCACAAAAAAAGCTTTAAACTCTTTTTGACATGGCGAGCTCTTTGCACGCAGCAGTGCCTTGATCTTGGTGTGTTTGGGCTGCCCAGCAGTGAGCGTGTGGGTCAGGTTTGGGGGACGGGAAGGAACGGTCCAGTGACCCCCTGCACCCCACCTCCTCCTAGACCCAGCAGGCATCAAAAGAACGGCAGAGCGTGGGTGAAGCAGCGTCTATGCTCCAAACTCACAAAGGAACGGCTTTGTTTCCAAGAAGGACTTTCGCCTGCAAGTTGCATTTTCTATTTGCAATTAAGGAGATTAAGGGAGACACTAGAAAACAATTTTTTTATTTTTTTTAAAATGAAGCTCATCAAGCTGATTAATCTCTAGCATCAAAGGTTTCCCTTCCCTCCTCCACCCCCCTCCCCCAGACCAGGTTAGACAAACATCTGTCAGGAACAGTTTAGGGCGCGCGGATCCTGCCTGGGAGCAGAGGTCAGACTGAGTGACCTCTTCAGATCCCTCAAAGCCCTCGTTTCTTTGATTTTGTATTTTCAGTATGACTGGCAATTCTTGGTGTCTGATTTTCTGAGTGCTTGGCCCGAGACACCTCTGTGAACCGTGGCCGTGCTCGTTTCCCCCACCCCGGGTCATCCCCCGCACCCTGGTTTCTAAAGCAGTTTTCCTGCAAAGGCTGTGAAAGACAACAAATGCCCCCAGATTCTTGTTCTGGGTGACTGTCCCATGACTCCCTGTAGTTAGAAATTCCTTTTTTTTTTTTTTTTTTTTTTTTGTTAGAAGACACTAGGATTGTGCCTGAAGGATGTGGGCTGTGTGCGGTAAGTGCCTTTTTTCCCTTCTTGCCACCATTTTAAGACTAAGCAGCAGCAACCTGTTAGGTTTTGTAGATTCCCCTTCGTGTTAGAGAAAGAAAATTTATCCCTCATTCATTTGTTGTTGGTTTGTTGGTTTTTGGTTGGGTTGGTTTTTTTTTTTTTTTTCAATTTTAAATTTAGAAAGTGCCCAGGAACAGATTTTTCTTTTCTTTGGACTCATGTCTAATTTGCTTTTTGAACATTTGTGACACAAGCTGAGATTGGGGGAGGTGAACCAGGCTATTGACAGGCTGTGGATGTGCTGACACAGCACAAAGCGGCGCAGCGCTGCGATACACAAGTGTGCTCTCAGCCAGATGGCTCAGGAAACGAAGGCATGAGCTGCAGCGCCGGAGCGCTCCATATGGACTCAGTTACCTTGCCCAGAGGTACCTGTGCTGAGTGAGCTCGTATCGCCATCATTACCGTGATCATGATGATTTAAAGATGGCTATATCTTTAAAAAAAAAAAAATCTGTGCCCTTTACTAGGGATGCTCAGACAGATCAGAAACAAACTGGGAAATTCCTCCTGGGCCAGGCAGGCATCTGTCCTGCATGGTTTCACATTGAGATGATGGGCTTTTCATAATAAGACCTTGTAGCAGCGATACGAGGAAAGAACTGTTTTGTTTCTTTTGTTTTAAAAAAAAAAAAAATAAAAAATGAACTGGTCAATGTGCTGAGAGCGTGAGCGAGTGCGTTCCCCCCCTTCCCCATGGGCTGATTTGATTAAATCAAAATGTTTTGCAGAAATGTATGAATTTCATCTGGGTTTTCACTGGAGAGTTTTCTTTTGAGAGGGCTTTGTTTTGATTAGGTCAAAGCACTTCACGTTGACTTCTCCGTTTCGGCGATGTTGGGATGTTAGGGAGCGGTTGCGCTTCAGCCCTGTCAAAAGTCTGTGCTTTGACCTTATCAAAGCGCTGGGTTTTGATGAGGCTGTGCTGACATTTGCAAAACCAAAAAAAAAAAAAAAAAAGAGACCCCAATCGTCTATATTTTTGAAATCTGCATTTTGTGAGAATTTTCAAAATTAGAGAGGCTTTTTTTTGTTGTTGTTGTTGTCGTTCTTTTCCTCCCTCCTGAGGCAGATTGATTTCAAAAGGAAATTTCACATTTTGCCAAAATTCTCTCGTTTTCCTATGTGACGCCGTTACCATTGATATTCCTGCAAAAGCTAAACACCCGAGGACCTCATCCCTCGCTGCAACCAGATTTTCTCTTTCTATTCGCCCGTCTCACCTCGGGTTTTTCTTGGCTTTCAGTAGCCAGGCGAAGAAGTCTTTGGCCTCCTGGGTGCCCAGGTCCAACCTCTGGCCGTTCGTCGCTGATACTTGGGGCTCAGCTTCCCGCTTGTATGGCTCGATGATGTTGCTGGAAAGGCAAAATGGGACGATATCAGCCTGAGGTGCCACAAGAGGGTGCCCAAATGCTGCTTTTCCACAAAACCCATCTCCCTCCCACTCCGTCTCCCATCAGCCAGAGAAGGCGGCGGTCTTGGACAGGGAGAGGAATAGTTGTGCTGTGTGCCGACAGACCAGAAACATTTCTAGGACTTAGAAAAATAAAAGAAAAAAAAAAAAAAAAAAAAAGAAAACAAACTCCCTAGAGAATCGCTGCTGCGGTCCAAGAAAAATATCCTCGGCTCTGCATTCTTCTGTAGCCATCAGTCGGCTGATGACAGCTCTAAGTTTGGATCGTAGGAGCATTGAAAGTCTACACACTTACTCGCTTTTCTTCTCCCGTCTGGCTAGCAACCATTCCACAAAGTTCTTCTTCAGCATGTTATCCATCGTGCGGCTGTAATCGCTTGCCAGGGTGGCCTCCGAGTAGCGTCTTTGCACTGGTCTGGCACTGGGAGTCCTTATGCTTACGCTGGGGTAAGAGCACAGAGACAGAGTGAGTCCCGCGCAGACAGGGAGCACGTGCCGTGCGGGGTTTTGCTTGGGTTACACGCGGTGGCCCGCGCGGTGCCTGCAGTCAGCGAGGTTTTGTGATCGCTTTTAATCTCTCTCTCGGTACAGGTGACCGTTCCTGCGTTGTAACGTGAGGAGGTGGCCGGAGAAGGGGCTAGCGTGCTCCTCGTCCATTTTGCTGGCTGCTAACGCAATTGCAGCGCAGATTTGAGGACTCGGGAGGAGACGGGCTCAGGAAATATGCCGATAGTCTGGAGTCAGTGCGGTTTTCCCTGCCGTAGCCCGATTCACGTGGACTTTGGCTCCGAGCTAAGGCACCAAGTGTGCTCAGGCTCCCTCCTTCAGTGAGTTGCACACCTGGGGCCAAGGAAACCTTCTCCTCTGTCCTGGAGAGGGTCGGGGTGGATGGCAGGAGACAAGGGTGGACCTTGAGACCAGTGCTGATCTGACAGCGTAGACACAGACACTGGCTACCTAAGTTAGCAAAGGGTTTCAAGGCTGATCCTTTTTTAGTGCTATTAGCTGGGATTGCAGCAGCTCCTACTGCTCTAATAACGATTCTTTTGGATTTAAGTTGGGAATTTTGTAGCAGGAGTCAGGGAAAAAGAGGGAAAGTCTTTGTTATATACCTGCTTTATATAACTGGTCATATTTTCAGAAGCTTCCAGATGCTGGATGCCTCCTAGCCTCTTTCATGTGAGAAGATTACATCTTGTTTCTAGTTCTCAGCCAACCTTTCTTCCTGGTTGACTTCCAGCTTGTTCCTCCTAACCCAGAGCCATGAAGCTGGCCCTGGCTCAAAGGCTCAGGGCTTTAGTTTGATATCTCTCTTATCATTTGCTCATCGGCTGTCTCTATTATCCGAGATCTACCTCAGGACTCATGTTCTCACCTACTTACCAAGATGTCAATGGAAAAAGTCCATTTGCCTCCAGTGGGGAGCTGGAAAAGGCTCAAAATACACTGTGAGCCTTCCAAAACACTTACCCCGAGACGTTTTCTTCCATCAAAACAAAGCCCAGAGAAGCGAGGAGCAGAGAGAGAACTTTTAAAGACATCATTTTCTTGGCTGATTTCTCCGTTCAAAAGCAGAGGGCAATCCAGATGTCCCGCCCCTAGAGCACATGGGACACATAAGTGACAGGACAGTGAACCCAGAGGGATGTGCGGTGGTTGGGCACGCGCCTCTGCTTGTAAACGCGTTTCTGCAGTCCTTGTGCTTCGAGCAGCCTTCTCCATCCTACAAAGCCCTCTTCTGCCCTTCCCAGTTAAATTACTTTTTCAATGCCAATGCTCTTTCCCGCCGTGCTGTCTTTTAACGTTCGTTCCCTATACTTTTATGGTAACCATCAAATTCATTGTGGGTTGTGCATTCCCGGAGGCCAGGGCTTTGTCTTCCTCCGTGTTTACAAGCTGACCCTGTGGGTACCTCATTGTGCTTTAGGGGTCGATTCAATCTGGCGCACGTGAACGGGAACGGACGGTGGATCAGGCGGTTCAGTAGCAACGGCATCCTGCTTATCCCACACGGCGGTTTTGCGGGATTGAGGAGCCTGATCTAATTTCTGGGAGATTTTTTGCCAGGATGGATAATGCCTTACGTAGGGATTGGAGCCAGAGTCAGCGCATATCAGTTATGAAAAATATCCCATGGACAGTGACAGGATCAGATTCCAAGATTTATTAGGTTCAAGCTGTTCCTAGTCCTCACGTCCACAGTTCAGCTCAATAGCCCTTGGACATTTGAGCTCCTTTAATTACTATTCCAGCTCTGCAAACTCCATAGAAAAACGGGTTTAATCATGGCTTACAGATATATTTTATTGTCCCTCACCTCAGTCTTTCTTATAGATATTTCTGGAAAGCGCATTGCAACAGAGAGCTGCTGTTAACAGGAATAGCACAGCAACAAAAAGAAAAGGTCTAGAGCAGGACTCCAGGATCCCATCCTTCAAAAAATTTACTCGTACATTGATAGAACTTTACTCCTCTAAGTAGTTATTTGTACTCTTACAACAGCCCAATTATTGTTTTGGAGAGAGCCAGAAGTTGCAAGTTTGGATGTTGTTCGTAATTGTGGCATTTGTTATTTCTGGAAAATTGTGACATCTTTTACAAATGTTTTCAACCCTTCCTATTAGGTGAGAAAAATGCTAAATGTGTTACATTATCTCAGATGCATCAGGGTCTGAGGAATGCTCTTAAAAGCAAAGGTGTAATGTTCTGAACACTGGCAAAATCCCTAAAATATTAGAGGTTAAGCAATAAAAGACAAATAGTTACAGGGTGTGTTAACAGCAGAAGTAAATTCCATTATACAAAAAGCTGAGAGTATTTTAAATTATAACGAAAAAAATATCATGATTAAATAACAGCTCTTCCCTCTTATTTGCTTTTCATTTCATATATTGGTGATAGAACGGTGGGAATGATGATGGATCTGAAAATAGCTAAGTTGTGCAAGAATATTGTTCTGCTTAGGGTAATTATTTATCATGCTGGGAGAGGAAATGCACTGTAACCTTCATTTTAAGAAAGGGCAGTACTCCTCCTCTGCAGAATTTACCCAAACAGGGAGGAAAAGCAGTCCACATTTTCTGAGACTGTTGAAAACCCGTTTTTTAATCAATACAAGAGCCTTTGTCTGTGTGACACTGAATTGGAGGAGTCGAGCTCTGCTCACCCCGTCTGGCATGGAGTTTGCTGCGATACCTACGCTCTTTCGATTCCTTCGCAAAAGGAGGAGCAACTGGTGGGATCTCTGCACCATAAGTTCTTCCAGTCCCCTGTGCAGTACTCTCTGCTTTGCAAGAAGCCGTATCCCTGTTTTATCCATAGCTGGGAGGTCCCAAAAAGCCACTAAGAACCAATTTCTCTTCATTTCCCTGTGTAGGTGCGGATCCCATCCTGACATTTGCCACGTATTGAATCCTTTCTCCGAAATAACAGTCTTTCCCTTTAGAACCCAACAGGTACACTGCTGAGGTCTTTTCTGCCAAAGCTACCGAGGAAACAGCCAGTCTCGTACCGCTTGGGGAAAAACTCAGCCAAAGGTACGGGCTGGTCCTGCCCCGCTCCGGCTCCTGCCTGATGCTCGCGAACACTGTTCCCTCCACAAAATAGAGTAAAAAAAAAAAAGTGAGAGAGAGAGAGAGGCTGACATAGAGCTTCTTACCTTTCTCTGAAGCTGCCCAGGGGATTTCAGCCCGTTCTGAGTGCGGAGGAGACCCTTCAGGGCTTTTATATACGTTCACGGTGCAGGACCAAGCCCACTTCCATGAGGTAAACAGGAAATCAAGCACCTAATCAAAGCAATTCAAACCCACTTAGAGCTGCTTCATTAGGTCCGTTGACCCACAGAACAGGAAAATAACCTTTTAAAATATGTTTACGTTAATGGCAATTAAACATTGCTGTATCACAAAATCAGGAGTGAACGTGGATTGTGGGTATAATACATATGGCATTGGTCTAAACCTTAATTCCACACAGCACCTCCTTCCGCGGTAAAAAGTTCCTTAATTTACATCTTTTGCCAAACTTAAGTGCTATCTTAGACACATCCAATCTGCTCCTTCTCTTTCTTACAGGAGGAATAGCTGTGCTAAAATCAATAGCTCCCACCATGGTTATTTTTGTCACCATCAAGTCTGGGCATCCCAACTGTGGTCTGCAACCCCCAAATACTGAAAACAGCCTCTCTCCCCCAAAAAGGTGCACTCAGAAAGGAGAAAACTTGAGATGGAGAGTGGCAGATGGGGAACTAGTAGGAAAGGGTGAGGCAGCATTGGTTAACGAGGTGGAGGGTGGTGGCACAGCAGCCGCCTGCGGGGGGTGAGAGGGAGCAGCTGGAGCTGAGCACCCGTTTGGGCTTTTTCTGCCCTGAATGAGTGATGGAGCGTTTCCCTGTGGCTCTGCAGCTGCTGGGGACATGGGTCAGTGAGGCCACCACCTCACCCTGCCCTTGCACAGCTGGATCCAGGAGAGCAGATGTCCGGCAGATGTTAATTGTGCCATCAGAGTCCAGTGGGGGAAATCCACTTTCCATCAGCTCTGCTGTGACCGCGTGTGCCTGGTAGGATATTCTCCCCCGGTGCCTGACCTGCCCCGCTTCCCCGAGCTCTCCCCGGGACAATTGGACCCACTACA